TAGATACATAAACACAGGCAAATTATGACACTATGTAATAAGGAAATAAATGACGGGATTGGAGTGAAAAAATTAAAGTTATGAGTTAAGGAAATGGTCCTTGATACGTTGTTTGAAGGAATCAAGAAAAAGGGATTTGTTATATGTTTTAGGGCAACCGTACTAAACGATAACTCCTATCCGATCTTCAAAAGAGAAAGACTAACATTGTTTATTTTGGCCGAAACATACATATAATATAATAAAAAATTAAAAAATGTAAGGTCAGAATTTCATCTTCTATGTTGAGCTGTAAACAATATATTTTTAAAAACCTCAAATTAATACGACGACACAGTAGAGGTCCTTGTGAAAGAGTTTGTCCAGGAAACTGCCACCTTAGCTATTTCTGCTGCCAAGCAATAATGTGAGCATTACTGTGTTTCAGTTTGTAAGCGTAAGGGAGCTAGTGAAATTACAGGCACATGGGACCTTTCCACTTATATCTCAGGGTGACGGGCGCAGTGGCAGTGCCCTTCAGATCTTTGCGATTGAGAGCTCTGAGAGACACTGCAACTGTTATTGACCGGCGTATCGCTTACCACCACATTTTTGTGTCAAATCTTCAGAAAACTATCAAAATATTACTACATGGCTTCTTATGAACAAATCTAATATATAAAATTACATAATAAAAGACCTAGCGCAGCTATTTTTGTTGGAAAATAGCGAGAACTAAAAGGTAAGTAGCTTTAAGAATAATTTAGGCGTCCATAAGCCGGTGCACCGTAATGCGAACACAGGCCACTGCAGGGCGCATTTCATAACTCAGAACAGATTAGGGGTGCTGCTGGACCGTTCCGAGAACACGAATAAATAGGAAAACTACTACCTAGAGCTCTTGTGATAGGACTTTTAGAATTATTTTAACAATGCAGTATTGTGACCACCTGGGTCAAACGGTGGTTTAAATCTGGTTTAAAGAATAACTATTAAGTTTATTTAGTATATTACTAAAACATACTAAAAAGTATATTACGTATCTTCAACGGTACGTTAACACTGTCACACAACTACAGTAAAAGTCACTGCACGACGTACACATTGCTTTTTGCTGTTATTGCACCGCACTAGGCGATAGCTGAAATTCAGCGCGCCTGCTTTTGGGTAATAGTTTTGTTTGGCTTGCTGCAGTACTCACAACTTGCTATTAATTAGCAGATATAAGTTGTTTATTGCGTATATTTATTTCACTTCCTTCTTGTTATTTTTGTTTGTGTTGTTGTCTATTCCTTTCTTATCTTTTTTTCTTACTTAATATTTGCTGTTGTGGTGTATGCCTTTGAAAAATAAAGCCGATAAAACGTTCGTAATAAAATTTCTCTTCATTTTCATACACTAAAAAATGACAGTTAAATCATCTAATTTCCCTGTAGTTTTCGAAGTATTTATGCAATTACATTGTTTGGACAAGGCTTTATATAATTGCATTAGACTTAGGCAAGTAGAATACCATACTTTTTCCCATCGATCTTTTCCTATCGGAGTAGGAGAGACAACAGGCTTCATTTGTATTATATTACTCTTCTTTTCGATGTCTTCAATTTGGTCGTGGTACGTACGTGGTCCTTACCAACTTGCCCACTCACACTCGCCTTGTAAATCTGTTTCTTTTAACTTTTTTCGTACATCCATAATTTTTCATTACCTTAATATCTCTTAATTTATTAATAACAAAAATCGAACACTTAGAAAAAATTCGGATTCGAACCGACATGTTCTAGCAAACTTTGTTTTTTTTTCTTTTTAAAGACTTTTTATGCTGTAGCGCCATCTGTAAAAAAATATGTTCATTCCGTGGCTTACTTAGCATAGCGTCTGGCACAGATTGCGTGAAGACATCGGTTGAAATCCGGCCGGATCGAAGGAATTTTTTCTAAGAGTTCTATTTTTGTAATTAATAATTATAACAAACTAAGTAGTGGAGCAATTTCCTAAAAAAAATTAATATCTTGAGAGTAAAACTAGAAGTTTCTATCGTTGTTACTACATCTTCTTCCACGCCGCAAAACTCTTTTATCACATTGTTTAGCAAGTTATCTATTTTTTCTTAGTAAAAATTTAAAGTAGCAACCCTAAAGACAATCTCGTGTCGATCCGAAGTTTATATTCCCTATCTCTATCCATTTATGAACGCGTGTTTATTTGACTTCCGAATAACTTTGCTCCTCGCCCCTATCGCCTTATACTAAGGTCTTTATTAGCTAAATGCTGAGGCGGTTAGTTTGATTGATGAGTGTAATAAAGTGTAAGTCTAGTTTAATTTAAATTTAAGGCAATTTAGCGGCGTGCGGTCGCCATTGCCAGCCGCGTTGACCGGAAAATGGCACGTTATTTGCGGGGCACATCATTCATCACCAGTATTACAGCGAGGATAGTTATTGGTTAAACATTCAATGGATTTGGTAATTACGTATTTGTATTTTGCAACGATTGACATAATATCGGTATGATAGATCGTTTATTGTAGAAACAGAATTCGGGTCTGAATTAGACTTTTAAATATGTTCTTACTTTTTTTACTTGAGTAAAGTACCAATATCTCGTACCCTTGGTCTTGGCATAATAAAGCCATATGTGGCCATGCTTCAAAAGTGATTTTATGACATGAATGTCGTATAAATAATATGAAGTACGTGGAACAAATTATGTAAATGTGAAATTATATAACTCTTCTATTTAAGCAAATTATAGGTTAATTTCGTAGAATTTTTTCGTAGTTAGAATCTCCAAACCTCGGTCCTTGTACAGTCTGCCGACGTCTGTATGTCTGTGGTCGTCGACAAACTGCACAGGAACGAACTTAATAAGGTAGGGCAAAAACAACCCTAGCGCCCATAGGTGTGTGCCTATCACCCTAAGTGCTCTAAAGTCCCTAACCCTGACCATGTAAGTGCGCTGTTTAAATATATATATAAGTACTGGATATCTACGCCGTGAGACCTAAGGCAACAGGCGGACGGAGGGAAGGTAATAAGGGTGTACTGGGATGGATATTCTCACTGCCAGTCTCACAGACTCACAAGACCGATTTACTGATGGCTAAAGGTGTCTTGGCCACATTGAGAGGATGCTAGCAGGAGATAAATCAAACTCGACTGCTGTTGAAGGACTGATTTTAATAATAAATTAATTACTATATATTTACATTTCGTCGGTATAAAGTGCCGTTGAAGCATTATCTTGCAGCCTGGTTTTTCGGTCGTTCGTCTTGCTGTGTAGTGGTGCTGAAGCAGTTTCTTGCAGTCTATTTTTGGATCGTTCGCCTGCTTAGTGGAATGTTCAATGGTTATTTGACAGAAATATCACACTGATAGAAACCATAGATAATTTAAAAAATACGTTTGTTTAGCCATAAACAGTCCTATTACACCAAGGGTGCGTTATGCATCAATCAGTTATTGAATTTGATATCTAGTCTTCGAGAGCACAGATTTGTTTTTCTTTAAATTCATAGTCCTTTTCATATGCAGTATAACGATGCAATAGCGTTTTAATTAAGTTTATTGTAGCCGCATGATTGTCATGAAAAGGGCATTGTAGGAATTAAACTCCACAAACATTAGTATCGATTTCGAGAACATTAAAAACTGTCCCTCCTTGGATGACGGAGGGCAGAGGCCGCCGGGCCACGGGGCCGCTACTCGCACCATCCAACAATAATATATTTAAAGGATTAGCCGCGACGCAATATTGCGACCCTCTGAACTGCCGAGACCAGTCCCCCTCCCGCACCCCGGTCGTCTCCCGCTATTCAAATAATGGAAATTATTTCCACATATGTGCACCTAAATAAATATCATTCTGCTGTCATTATTGAACGCCCCTACGGTACTGTACAGTTATTTTCACCCGTTTGTTCGCGGTTTGCATGGGAAAAACATGGTTTGAATCTATGTTAGTCATTTAGTTCTATTTATCCTTGTTATAAAATTGAGTACCTATTCTGTTTTAAAACTCCCTAAAGATAAATCTGCACAAAAGAATCTTGCTAACGTGTGAAAACATTAGGATGCATAAACCGTTTCACCTGTGTACAAAACAAGGCTTCTGAATTCGCGAAATTTATGTTTCGAAAAATAAACGATTGTATATGGGGTGGAAACGACCGTTTATGTTCACTTAACCGAGGAAAGAGGGTATTATTTACCTTTTCGGCCGGGTGAACCCGCCACAGTGAGTGAGACAAATACCGCCAGCGGCGGGATATTTATTGCAGTCGGTGGATTGCGCAATTTATCGTAGAGGTGTCGTCGATCGATCGCACGTGATGGCCGTACATCAGCGCACGCGTTATCTGAGCTCACACCGACTTATCACGCGCATTGCAGCCGCTCTCCAGCTATACACCATCGATCCCGAGTGCACTGCCAACGCCAGCGGCAACTCGGTGCCTGTAGTGTCCTCGCGACCGCTCATTCATTGTGGCAGGGTCGCGGGAGGGGTCGATGGCAAGCCTCGTTTATCTTCATTCCGCGGCCGCAATTAGACGGGTCGCTGGCTGCGGTCGCCGTCGCCTCTCGCCGTACTACGTGGCTTGAATACGCGCCACCCACGCTACCGCCGCGCCGCACCCGACGTCGCTCTGTCAACTTCCTAATGAGTAAAGTTAATAGCTACGTAACGCAAGTCGCGTCCAGATTCTGAATCTCGTTAAAACTTGGATTCACCATGGAAACAGAATCAGTTATTTTCTTCTGTCGTCTCGTACAAACAAATGTGTAACTTTATGTACATAAACTTCATGTAAACATGAATATTAGAAACAATTCGTAATCGCTTGTCGTCTATTTCGGATCGTAACTGATCCGTAATACGCCGGCCGTAGACGATCGTGCTCTATTTTAAAACGTTTAATTTCAAACTATACTTTATATTCATTGTTATTATAAACGTATTTATGTTATTTGGGAATTGTATAGAAAAAATTAAGAAAATAACATGAATTCCATTTGTTACAGGTATGGTTTAAAAACCGGAGAGCGAAATGGCGGAAACGTGAACGGAACGCAATGAACGCCGCCGCGGCAGCCGCTGTGGACTTCAAAAACGGCTTTAGCACTCAATTCAACGGCCTAATGCAACCTTTCCCAGACACCGATGCATTGTACTCACCATATCCTTACAACAACTGGGCTACGAAGGTCCCCAGCCCGTTAGGAACAAAAAGCTTTCCGTGGCCAGTGAACGCATTAGGGTCAGTGGTTCCAGCGAGCCACCACCAGGGCTCGGTAAATTGCTTCAATACTGCGACGTCGATGGGCGGCGTTGGTAGCGGCGGGATGGCCGGCGTAGGTGGACCGGCAGGCGTCGGCGGCGGCGTGGCGCCGTGCCCGTACACAGCACCGCCGAACCCGTACAGCATGTACCGCGCAGAGCCGTGCCCCGCGATGACGTCTTCAATAGCGTCGCTGCGGCTGAAAGCGAAACAGCACTCTTCAGGATTCGGTGGCGGGTACGGGTCGGTGTCGCCGGTGTCACGCGCGGGGTCGGCGCCGTTGTCGGCGTGCCAATACGCGGGCGGCGTGGGCGTGTCGGACCGCATGCTCTGAGAGGAGGCGCGCGGACGCGACGACGTGCGCTCGCCGCCGCCGGCCGCCGCCCGCGTCTCCTAGTCACCACCCGCGCGTCGCCCGCCCGCCGCTTCTCCAGAACAAACGCACCACGGCCTTTATAGGCACCTCTGGGACTGGTTCGATTGAGCTAAACTGGGGGGCACTAATTCTTAGCATTCGGCCAAACCATTTTTAAGTTCCATTACTTAACGTTTCCATGTTCTGGTTGTTTTATTTATTTAACTTGATGTAAAGATAAAAATAATTTTTGTAAACGGCATTTATAGTCTATGCAGACATCGAAGTTCTCTTTCAGGTATTATCAACAAGTGCAAGTGAATTGGTGCCCATGATAAACTATTGCGGTCTAAGACTAGGGTGTGTCGCGTGTATTTTATTAGTATAAATTTGTTCTCTACGAAACTTCAGGCAATAAACCTTAACGATTCGTTTTAGATGTTGATGTAAATATATAGCTATGTATCTACGTATACCAAAGCGATGAGTGCAATTTATACAAGCTTACGTAGGTGCGAATTGTAGAGAAAGTATGTGCTGAGCGGACATGGTTTGTTTGTATATTTCAACGGAAAAAATACGTACGAATGGACGTATTAACCGACCGGACATCTTTTCTTCAAAAAACGCGCCTTATGTACTTAGATTAAAAATTACTGTAAGCTAGTAGTTTAAAACGACACTGTAAATATTGGTGAACTAGGTAATTTATTTGCGTTGTTTATATGTCGATTAAAAATATTCAGAATGAATAAATTGTAAATAAATTAAGGTACAAGTTACTATTATTCTTTACGAACATTTTAGGATGTTTATTTGCAACATGATACGACGAACTTCTTGGGCCATTATAAACCTAACAATATTATATTAGTTGTATCAAATTATAATGGACATTAACAGTTACGCGTTGAAGCAAACTCCATTTTTCTATGTTCTTATTAACTATTTTGGCATAATTTTAAATGTTATTCGCGGAGAGTTACACGCTGGTATATTATACAAGCTCTCAATAATTAATCTTTATTGAAAATTGCACCTTGTATCACTCATACAGCGATAGTATTGAATTAACTGTATTTGAAAATCTTACGTCAGTTCAGCCGTGCTTTTTTGTATTTCATCCTATTTAAAGATGGCCGCAATGAGATTAAAGTAACCTGGATCTCATTATTTATTTAAACTATTTGTAGATCCCATAACGAAATGTAAATAATTGTACTTAAAGTCTAGACGATAATTTTAATTAGGTCTACATTTAGTTTATAACACAATTTTAGAATTTGAGTTGGGCTACAATAATGACGATTTTAATAATTTTTCAGTTTATTAAAAGGGCAAAATATACAAAATAATAACTTATTTTACATATAAAACATTTTGTTACAATTTTAAGTAACTTCTTTCTTTTAAGTAAAATTTTTATGTAGTAATTTTAAGTCCTTGGGGCTAAAGATTTTTTACGTTTTAAGACCCGCAATGTTGTAAATACTTTCCACAAAAAATCGCGGCATTAAAAAATATCTAAAGATCTCATTAGGTATGATCGCTACTTCATAAAATTCTTTACAAAATAATACTTCATATTTTTATAAAAAACAAATAAATAATATTGTATATTTATAACTTTATATATGTATATACATACATACAAAAATTACAATATACGCGTTACCGTACTTTACATACACACACATACACATTAAAATTTACTGCATGTTTCTCACTGTTACATTTTATTATTGTTTTTAAAACTGGTAGCCCAGTGGAGAGAGCGGTTGCTTCTTAAGAGTCTATATTTTGGTTGATTCCGCATAACAGTGAGCGTGTTGAATCAACCACTTTGGAAAAAATATATCGTAAAATTGAGGATATACCTGATTAGTATACGGTGCGAAAACACGATTCCTAAACATTTACACGATAGAAGAAAACACGTGAAAAAAAAAGTGTTCAAACCATTGACTTACAAATAAATGGACGACGGGTCTAATACAAAAACCACGAAAAAAATGTCCCAAGTCAACCTATTCGAAATTTAAATTGTTATGTCATCGCAGTATCGCGCTGTCCGTAGAACAAATGAAGACTAAAGCGGAGTGTCGCGCTCTGTATACGATTTTAGCGCCTTACAAGTGCGGACACTTTTTAGCGCGGACCCGACGTCCATATAATTGTAAGTCAATGGTTCAAACACAGAGAAAACACCTCGAAATTTAAAAACACAAGAAAACCGCTGTATTCAATAGGTACTTCACAAATACCAGTGATTTTTTTGACGCTGGTTCGACTTCAGGCAGATCTAAGTAATTTTTCTTTGTGTTCTTTGATCTTTGTACCAATAATCATAACAAACTAGTGAAATATTTTCACAAAAATATATAATTATCATGGTAGTTAATTAAAACATCATGACAAAAATAAATGTAGACATTTGTCTTAATTTTCAAATAGAAAGTTAAGACAAATGTCTACAAACAAAATTACAAACAAAAATTTTCTATCAAAAATAGCTAGAGACCGGGTCTCCTAACCCGGAAGTTCGGAGATGTATTCTGCAGCAAAACTTTTGAAGGAGGCATAACGTGCTGACGTTACCTCCTCGTAACCTCCATTAATGTGAACTTTTGAGTAGGCACAAAAAACAGAGGGACAACTAGAAATACCTATATGACCATACCTTTATTTTATAACTTAAAAGGGTCTGAAAATTATATTTGAAGTTTATAACACGACAATGTGCTTGAAGAGTAAAACAGAGATGTCGTCCTGTCGTCCAAAAACGAGTTACGCAGTTTTCAAATATAGCCAACGAATCAGAATTTTGCAAAACATGGCAATAAATTGATTAAATATTGTCGTAGTACAACACAAATATATCTGTCAGTAATGTAGCCTGGCCTTAATTCCGCGTGCCTACTAACCAGTAAAGAAACCATTCTTAAAAAAGTTGTAATTGTAAATAACTACTTACTTGAAAGAGTTATAACGAACGATATCGAGGTTTCATTTTATACATATCAAATAAATATCTGCGAACTATAGTTTGTTGAATTATTTTGTAAATTTACTTAATAAAGGAATAACGATTGTTTTGTAACTTAAAAAACCTCTAGTCATAATAAAAAAAATATCACTGAGCATTTTGTCGTTTTATTGTTATACAAAACCTACTTAGTTTCTGAACGTTTTATGTACGAAAGAAATTTCCATCAACGTAAGTTGTCGTGGGATGAGGATTTACAGTGATAAAGACCTACGAATTTAAAGGAGTAGAAAATTACAAAATAAAACAATACATTTATATAAAGAAAAGATGTTCTGAAAGAGTTAGTGCGTAATAGAGTAGAGTGAGTAATGTATATAGTTTGTAGGTGAAGATAGAAGATGATGGAGTGTTGGAGAAAGAGATCAGAGGTGCAGGACCGAAGAGTAGCGAAGTTATTGTCTAGACGGCGGTTGTTGAGCAGGACTGGAGAGCAGCTATATTGATGATGGGGTAGCGGTGGTACTACAAATTTAAGTATTTTAAGAACTAATACTACAATAAATATTAATGGGAACTCTTTCAGGAATCTAATAAACGGTAAGTAAGATCGTTTCCTAGGAACGCGTAATGGGAGAAATGAAGATAGTCAGAAATCTGTGGTGTCACACAGTATTCTACGTATGAATAAAAAGAGCGGAAGGCAGTAAAATAACACAAGTGGCATTTAAAAAAATGAAGTCTACCACTGGCGTACGACATAAACATATATATAATGTTGATATAAACACCCTAGAACATTTCCTTTGTACCTTCAAGACGAAATTTTAACAAACAACAACACATATGACATTGTTAGCAATTAGCGCAAATGCGAATACTAAATAATTAATTGCAAGCCGCCATGGACTAAGAATAGTACATTATAGCAATTAATTGGACAAAACAAATTTTTGGCAAAGGTCGTGTTTCGGCTCTTGCTAATAGTGATACAACTGACAATTTAAGCATACAGTATAAATCTATAAACAAATACAATTTATTGTTTATTGGTGGTGGTGGTGGTATTTTGGTAGAAAAAATGTTACACGTCTATAAGACAATAACTGTATTGACTTACTTAGTTCTTTTTCTCTTATATATTTATTTATTTAGGAAATTTATACAATGCATATACCAGTTCGATCGTAACCTAAGTTAAAGTTTACAAGTATGGACGGCTCTGCTGGACAGCCTATTCAACAAATATCAACTTTTCTTGTCTTTTAGCCTGTTTCGCAAGGGGCTTGCCCAATATACAATTCAAAATACTTGGGGATGTTCGGTTAATCTGCAGGGCTCTCATCAACACCGCCCTATTTTACCTACGACAAATTCCAATAACAAGTGATATGCATTTTCCACCACTCCGTATAACTCGCAATTAGAATTGTTTTTTTTTTTTTCATTTAGAAGGCAAAACTGTTTAATAGAACGTGTCCGGTTGTCATCGTTAGCGCTAGTCGGTTCTGGAAACCAAGGTTTGGCTGGCTTCCGATACAAGACTGTTCCTGAAATATAAAATCCAAAAATCTTTATTTCACATTCCAATCGAATAACACTACTACTCATTCATAAGGCTGTTTACTACATGAAGAACAAGTGAAGGTGCGTACAGAATTGCTCGATTTTTTGATGACGTATGTTCAAACAAAACGGGTAAATTTGTAAGCAACAGACGATTGACATCGTATTTTGTATCAATCAATAAATGTGATCAGGCAAGAGAGATCAGATAAAATCGAATTAATGTGTAAGAAGCAGACATTGAGACAGATAATTTGTTTGTAAATTGATCAAAATATCGAGCAAATCTGTAGACATCTGAAGAAACTCTAAGGGTTGCTATTTGTAAATATGTATATACAAGTTCACATTTACCATTTACAATATTATAAAACTACCCAAAAGAGCTAAACGGATCAGTCTCGTAGATTTTTGTTATCCAACGTAAGTAGAAAAAAGTTTTTATTTCACAATAGTTTTAGGGCTCGTAAGCAGCATATTCTGAATATCAACAGGGCTCTTCTTATTACAGAAGCATATACGTTGCCTTAAAATGAATTTGTGACAAAACTTTCAAGAACAGCCAGTTTAGTTCTCGTAACGATGTCGCATCTAGCCTCGATTTTTCGTGAAAGTTATTATTATTTATTAAGAAGTAGGTTTTTAATTGTAAGTCCACCACTTTTAAAATCACATTGCTGATGTCGCCATAGACACATGGATGCCTTTAACTTCAAGCAATAACAAACTATCATCAGCTGAGAAAACCCACGCTCTATACTTTTCACAAGACTAGGAAAGCTACTAAAATAAACTAAAAATTGAATCGGACCTAGAAATGAACCTTGAGAGACGTTCGTTCTTACTGTAGACCCTGATAACCTTGTACCGTTGACATCAACCCTCTGGAACCTATCACTCAAATTCGATTTAAGGCCAAGGTCACGGTCCGTCAT